TTATAGAGTTAAGTGAGACTTAATCATACACACTTAATCATAGCAGAATATGTGGGTTGGGCAGTCAGAGAAATAGTTGTAGAATGGGAAATTGTGAAAGTCCAGAGCCCATTACTTTCCTTTTCTCCCTGCGGGTTGTTGTTTTCCATACCCTTCCGTATTAATAAATTCAGTGTGCAGGGCTGGGGATGTGGCTCAAGCGGTAGCCTGCTCGCCTGGCATGCGTGCGGCCCGGGTTCGATCCTCAGCACCACATACAAACAAAGATGTTGTGTCTGCCGAGAAATAAAAAAAAATAAATATTAAAAATTCTCTCTCTCTCTCTTTCTCTCCCTAAAAATAAATAAATAAATAGATAAATAAATTCAGTGTGCAGTTTAATTGGGGTAGTTTCAAAAGTCATGATTTTACGATGAGTAAGTGCAAACTTTTTTATTTTAAAAACTTCTTGAAGGTTGAGTGTGTCTACAATGAAATCGTACTTCTTGGCAGTTGGTAAATTATGTATTCTAACATCTATCAAATTTGAATTCCACTACATTTATTTTTTGCCAAAAGGTGAGTCATATTTGTTTGAAATCTGAGACAGTATGTTGAATTTTGTACATCTGTCCAAGTTTATTCCTGCCAGCAGTGGAAATACTTCCGTGGACATCACAACACTACATTTAAGGTTAGTGTTGGTGACTTGCAAGTCCCTCAGAACCAAAATTTTAAGGTTCTGAATGTAGATGGGGTGTCAACTAAGAGTTGCCAAAGGAGACTGCCCTTCTCCCTTAAGACTTTCCCAAGAGTTCAGAAGAACTCACAGGCAAGGGCTCTGGACTGCTTGCTATCCAAGTGTGACTGGAGGGACTGTAGTGATTACTTTGGATATGAGACCCTACTTTTCTGAGGAACAGAGCACAACTTATCTATCACTTTCATTTGCAGTTCCTATCACTTTAATTTGCAGTTCCCAAAAGATTGCCACAACCATGTCCATGCTCAGAGTCGAATGATTTTTCCTATCAATATTAGATAGTAAAGTGATTTACAATTCTTTTTAAATTTAAAGCACCAATTACCATTCCTTATATTCTTTGTTTTTAACTGAGCTCTTGCATGACTTATGTTATTATCCTAAATAAATGCTTTAGTAAACACAGAATTTTTTATGAATTAGACTTTTTTATTAGTTGTTGGTGGACCTTTATTTTATTTATTTATATGCTGTCGAATTAGACATTTAAACATTCTATGTTGATGTGATTTGTTTTCATTTGATAGCAAAAGCTCTTTCAGCCTGCAAGCATTTCACATTATCTGGAAAACTTTTTCTCTATTTTGTAGAAATACTAGAATTCTTCCTCTCGATTTTGTCTTTATATTGATTTGTAACACTTCTTTGATTTATGCATAAGTATATGACTTTGATTTTACCTGATCCACCATCAATATGAAAGTGTTGAATACTAACAGTGCTTACCACAGGGAGGATATAGTATTTTTACTTCCTGCCTTAAATTGTCTTGTGGAGGAAGGGAGCTGGAAGAGTTGTACGTTTATTTATGTGGATTGTAACAGCTTTCTGAATTGGCAGCATAATCGCATAGTTTAATCCTCAATTATTTCCCCTTTTGCTTCATGTTTTTTTAATATTTATTTTTTAGTTGTAGTTAGACACAATGCCCTTATTTTGTTTATTTATATGGGGTGCTGAGGTTTGAACCCAGGGCCTTGGACGTGCCAGGCAAGCGCTATACCGCTGAGCCACAACCCCAGCCCATTGCTTCCTTGTTTTTGCTTTATGTAGCAGTCTACATTTTTTTCTCAGCATCCTAATCTTGGTTTAGTGGGTGTGGTCTGTTTTCATCCTCCTTGGACAATTCAGAGTGTGCAGGAAGGGTGGCAATTCCAGTGGCAGTAGGTCAAGCCAACCACTTGCTGCCCAGACTGGGGGAAAGGGGGTTTATACCTGTCTTCATGCATGTAAATAACACAAGCTGGGGTCACTCACTGTAGAGCACCATACACAGAACAAGATTTGGAACCTCAGCATGTGAAAGCCTCCTGTAGTCCTATTCCCAAGTGAAAATAAAATTGGCTAAGATGTCACCACCATTTTTTTGTGGTCAATTAGGATGACATCTTATTAAGGAGGGTACCTGAACTGGAATCCAGGTCTGGGCTTCACCAGGGATTTTTGCTGTGTTGCCCTGGTGGTCAGATGTGGAATTTTCAGGGACCCTGAACACCTGCCTAGAATGGGCCCACCCACCTATCTGAGTTAATCTTTACAGTGTAGGTATACTACATAGTATTGGGGTTCAAACCCCTGCTATACCACTTAGCTACATCCCCAGGCTTTTTGTACTGGGATTGGATCCAGGGGTGCTCAACCACTGAGCCACATCCCCAGGCCTCTTTATTTTTTTTATTTAGAGACAGGGTCTCAACTAAGTTGCTTACAGCCTAAATTGTAGATGCTAGCCTCAAACTTGCCATCCTCCTGCCTCAGCCTCCTGAGCTGCTGGGATTATGGGCATGCACCACAAGGCCCAGCTTTTTTCTTTTAATATTTGTTTTTTAGTTGTACACAATACCTTTATTTTGTTTATTTGTTTTTATGTGGTGCTAAGGATCGAAACCCAGGTCCYCACATATGCTAGGCGAGCGCTCTACCACTGAGCCACAACCCCAGCCCCCCCAACAGACCTTTTTAAAGAAGTTTTTATTTAGAGACAGTATCTCACTAAGTTTCTGAGGCTGATCTCAAACTTGAGATCCTTCCACTTCAGCCTCCTTAATCACTGGTATTATAGGTGTACAACACCTTGCCCAGCTACGGTGAGGAATCTTGCACATCTTTAGGTGTTTATCATGCAAGTTTGAAGTATTGCCTGCTTTTATACCTGCAAATTTAAAAGCAAGTTGCAACACAGCACTAATCGTTTTAAATGACAAAGCARAGATAAATTTTTTAAAAAATATTTACTTAGTTATTTAGTAAGTTATAGTTGGACACAATTTCTTTATTTGATTTTTTGTTTGTTTATTTATTTATTTATTTTTATGTGGTGCTGAGGATTGAACCCAGCACGTTCTCGGCGAGTGCTCTACTGCTGAGCCACAATCCCACCCAAGGGTAATTTTTAATAAAACGATTAATCAGCTTTTTGTCGCTGTTACCAAAACTCCTGACAAGCATAACTTAAAGGAGGAAAATTTTATTTCAGGCTCTTGGTAACAGAGGTCTCAGCCCATGGTCTGCCACTTCATTATTCTGAGCCCCAGGTGAAACAGAATATCCTAGTGGTTGTGATGCTCAATTCATGGCAGCCAGGAAGCAGAGAGTGGGTGAGATGCCAGGGACAAAAGATAAACCCCAGGGGCTGGGATTATGGCTCAGAAGTAAAGTGCTTGCCTAGCATGCATGAGGCACTGGCTTCCATCCTCAGCACCACAATAAAATAAAGATATGTCCACCTATAACTAAAAGTATATATATAAACTCCAAAGGCAGGTCACCCCTAGTGACCCACTTCCTCCAGTCATGCCCCACCTGCCTACAGTTAACATCAGTACAGCAATCCTTTCAAATGATTAATTCATCAAGTGGATCAACCCACTGATCTTGTTACAGCTCTCAATCTAATTGCTTCACCTGTGAACACTGTTACATTGTTGTACACTTGGGTGTACACTTTGGGTGGTACACTTCATATTCAAGCCATAAAAAAATACTAAAATACACAGTGCAAATCTGTCCTACTTTCACCTCGGGCACTTAAAAGGTGTGAGTCTTTAGACTTTAGTTAACCTACACTATACTTGACTCTGCTGCCAAAATACAATGAAAAGATAAAACCTGTTGGGGCTGGGGATGTGGCTCAAGCGGTAGCGCGCTCGCCTGGCATGCGCGCAGCCCGGGTTGGATCCTCAGCACCACATACCAACAAAGATGTTGTGTCCGCCGAGAACTAAGAAAAAATAAATAAATATTAAAATTCTCTCTCTCTCTCTCTCTCTCTCTCTCAAATTAAAAAAAAAAACCTGTTTACTCATCTGATAAAGTTTCTATGACAATAAATGGGTTTGTCATAGGAAATTGCTGTGTCCTAAAACTAAAAACGTGATTTATTTACTTCACAATCTGATAATTGAAGATCTCAGGATTTTAATGAATTCTCAGAAAAACAACTACTCAAAATCCTGAACACCTGGGGAACAGTAGGCAAGAGTAGAAAACACTAAATGCAAGGATGTTCATTTCACCTGAATCATAGAAGTTACCCGAATCAAGAAAATCAAGTCCCAAACGGGGAAATGGAGGGAGTAAGAATCAAAGATTTAAGATAAATTTCTCCAAGTTAATATAAATTCATGATGAAATGCCACGTCTCTTAGACTGCTTCCTGCAACGTGCAAATGGTGAAGTTAAACCGAAAAGAACAGAAAATAATATTAAAAGATCTTTATTTTTTCAAAAGCCACGAGGCAAAACGGTAGGATGTTATCCCTTGTTAAAGATGCTTGGTAGGGCAGAGCGGGCCGCGCACACCTGTAATCCCAGCAACTGGGGAGRCTGAGGCAGGAGGAGCACGAGCTCAAAGCCAGCCTCAGCAACTTAGCGAGACCCTGTCTCAAAATGAAATATAAAGAGGGTTAATGTGGCTCAGTGGTTAGTGGTTAAGTGCACCTGGTTTCCATCCCGGTACCCCCCCCCCAAAAAAAAAAGGATGCCTGGTAAGTCCTTAAGTGCTGGCCAACTTCTCTACATATGAAACATTTTCATAGCTAAAAAAAGAGGTATGAGGGTCCTTTGCCTTCTCGGGAGCTATACTTTGATCTGGATAGTTCATTTTAGAAATAAGATTTCGTATTATATTTAAAAAGTAAACAGCCATCAGCTGGGTCGGCGAGCCTGCGCAGGCGCAGACGGCGGCGGGGCGGGGGGGGGGACGTGGGGGTTATTGCGCGTGCGCCTCGGCTCGGAGAGAGCTTGCGCAAGGCCTCGCCCTCGTGGGCGCCTGCGCGGCGTCGCGAGTCGGTTCGCCCGCGGAGTCCGGAAGGTTTGGAGCTGCTCCGTGCGCTGGTGGACCTGCGCCATGCCGGGCATGGTGCTTTTCGGCCGGCGCTGGGCCATCGCCAGTGACGACTTGGTTTTCCCCGGGTTCTTCGAGCTGTTCCTGCGAGTGCTGTGGTAAGGGCGGCCGCTCTGCGGGCGACTGTACCGCGCCGAGGAKGGGCTGGGGGCGCGCTGTCCCTTGAGACAGTGACAAAAGTACCAGCCTGCTGACTGCAGAAGCCGGGACAGGGGAGGCGGTGTCGGSGTCAGGTGCGCGGCCCGGACGTCGGCGCTACAGGGCACGAGCAGCGCCCGGTTGCAACGCTGAGACCTGGCACACGGGAGCGGGGTCCTCGTTGCAGACCAAATACCATTGCCTCGAGCTCTGCTTCTCGAGCCGGGTGCACTTGCTTCATTCCCTAACTCCGCGTGGGAGAGCAAAGCTCCTGCCCCTGCAAGACGAAAGTTGGAAAATAATGCCCTTCGTTGCATTCTTGAGCCGGTGGTGGCAGAATTTCTCGAGAAGCAGAAAGACTCCTCAAGTGTTGTCTTTCGGAGTGTGGAACCAATGGGAAGCGACACTGGTGCATGAAGTCAGTTAGCAAAGGGTGTGGGCAARGAGTAATATCATCGTTCTCAAACAGTAGATTCTCAAGGGGAAAGGAATTTGAAAACAAGAGTTATGAGCTACTTCCCAGGAACTTTCTAGTTTTCAGGGCCAGGTTTTCTGAGGTCATTTCCCTGTTATTTCTAGACATGAAGTCCTGATTTCACAAAACTGAAGAAAGCAGTTATCTAGTCCAGTACCCCTTCCTCTTTCTTTTCTTTTTTCTTTTTTAATTCCTCCAGGTGGTCACGGGACTCAAATCCAGGGTCTCACACGAGCACTCTACCACTGAGGTCAATCCCCAGCCCCCAAGTTCTACTTCTTAAAGGTCTGGGCTTGAATCTATGTAATAAGGCRATCTTGCCAAGTGTTGCGCAGCCTTCTGCTAAAATACCTCTAGGGATAGGTCAGGGTCATTATTACTTTGTGGTGTTCAGTGCTGTCTTTCATTGTTCTGCACTGAATTACAAAATTGTAGTCACAGGGCCACAGAACTCCTTTCCTGTCTTATCTGTGCTCAGCATGAACATCTTTACATTTCTGTTTAGTTCCTTCCCTCTTGGTTTTGAATTACATACTGCAGATTATAGTGTGCTTGTTGTTAAACCACCGATGTACAAATTCTCATTAGTAATTTAGCAAACACATAATTTTTGGCTTACCAGTTGCATATTTCCTCCAGCAGCTCACATTATATTTGCYTATTTGTGACTTTAAAGGGATTATAGCACGCACAGAATAAGAACAATGGTATAAGCATGGAAAGTATAGAAAGCCATGCTCTTTTGTTGACTTGCTTGATCTTTTATTGATGAAAATTGTATTTCACAGTCAGCCTTGTTTTGAAAAATATTAACTTTCTTTACTTCTTTGAATCATGTTTTACAAAGCTGCTCCTTGGATTCCAATTCTGACCCTCCCTGTTTCTGGACAGGTGGATTGGCGTTCTGACCTTGTATGTCATGCACAGAAGGAAGCTAGACTGTGCTGGAGGAGTTCTTCTCAGCAGTTACTTGATCGTCCTCATGGTCCTTCTGGCAGTTGTTATATGTACTGTTTCGGCCATCGTGTGTGTCAGCATGAAAGGTAGTAGTTTCCTATTTGTTACCTATTTTTTATTTAAATAACCTTATTGAAATGAAATTTGCATACTCTGCAACTCACCCATTTAAAGTGCACAAGTCAATGGTTTTTGCCCAACAGAATTGTGCAACTATCACCATAATCAACCTCAGAATATTTTTATCATCTCCAAAANTCCAAAAGATGTACCCATTAATAGTCACTTATTTCCCCCCCCCCCCCCCCCAGTTCACCTAGCCCTGGGCATCCACTAGTCTACATTCTGTCTCCATAGATTTGCCTGTTCTGGACATCACAGAAGTAGAGTTGTCCTTAATTGGCCTTTTGGTCTGGCTTCTTAGCATAATGTTTTCAAGATTCATTCATGTTATTCACATTCAGTATTCCATTCCTTCTCATGGCTGAATAAGGTTACATTGAAGGATAGACCACATTTTACTCACTCAACGGTTGGTGAACATTGGGTTTCCATTGGGGGCTACTACAGATAATGCTACTTTGAACATTTGCTTGCAGGTTTTTGTATAGATGTGTCTTTTCATTTCTCTCAGATGTGTACCTGGGAGTAGAGTTGCTAGGTCAAGTAGTAACTCTAAGTTTAACCTTTTGGCAAGACTTCTGCCAGACTTCTGAGCAGCTGCACCTTTTGCTTTCACATCAGTGTGTATAAGCATTCTAATTTCCTATCCTTACCAACACATTATTATCAGACTTTCTGATTATAGGCATCCTAGTGAGCAGGAAATTGTATCTCATGGTTTTGATTTGCATTTTTTGATGACCATCCTTTCATGTGCTTATTGGCTATTTTTATATCAGTTTTGGAGAATTGTCAACTCTAAAAATATAATTGTCTACTCTAAAAATATATTATCCTTTATAAAGATTATATTATTATTATATAAAGATTATCCTTTTATAAATTATTATTATATAAAGATTATCCTTTTTTTTTCCTTTTTGGTGCTGAGGATTGACCCCAGGCCCTTGCATGTGCTAAACTTGTCGTCTTCCAGTGAGATATGTCCAATTGTGGATGGCCAACTGGAAGGACGGTTATACAGTGGGTGATAGAGWGTAGGTCCTGACAGTTAGGAATGACCAGCTGAAACAAATGTTAGTAAAGTGTTTAATAAGAAAAAGATCTTAGGGCTCCAGAATCACTAAGAAGCAGAGCATGCACTCATTTATGATGGGAATATACAGAAAACAGAGCTCTATGTATTTCAGTATTTAGTCAAACTGTGGATCTGTTGGGTCTGGATTGAAGAAGGTCTCCATTCTGTGGTCTCYGTTGATCTCTAGTCTGGGTTTTATTGGTACAAATGCTGAAAGGAGAAACTGAATGTGTACAGCATGGCACTTCCCAGTGCAGTGACACTTCCCAGTCAAGGCCGATTTTCTGAAAGATAAAGTATTTGGACAGGTGTCATTTTAGACATAGCGTTTTCTAATTCACATGCCCTTTTTGTCAAGTCACATTCCATTTGAACCACTGAGTTTCTAACTGTTATGGGAGGTTCAGATTTGGAACAGTTAAGTGTGAACTCCCTTTCCTCTTAAATGTTTTTCTRCTGTTTTTGGTGGTGTCAGGACACGTTTGTATTTCTGTGGTGGGTGCCCCTATTCACTCCTCCTAAATGCTCACATGATGCCTGCACCATCACACCCCTAGTCAGACCCCAGGAGTCCTCTGCAGGTCATACTGTAGTTGTGGGTTGCCTGCCCCACCATCTCCCCTAACCAAGCCTGTTTAGTCCATCCCCACCCCTCACATTCCAACAGTGTGAGAAAAGCTGGTGTGAGCCAGGCTCAGGGTGGTCCTCACATGTGGGTGACTGGTTYAGGAGTGGATGTGGGACCCAGTGTGGGCCACTGAAARTCAGGAGCATGTGCTGGAAGGTTCTAGGGAAGTGCTTCCTTGCTGCTGTAGGAGAGATCAGCATGGCTGTCCTGGGTGGTGCTGCTTCTCTACCCACACACTGAGGAGGCAGCCCCATGAGAAGCCTGATTCCCATCTACTTCTCAGGACCTGTCCTTTGAGTCTGCACAGGTTCTTCCTGCCTTTAAACCAGTTTGAGTTAGATTTTTCTGTTATTTGTTTCTAGAGGTATCCCAGATAAACTAAAAGCAATATCTTATAAGAACTTGTCAATTTAATTACCAATTTGTAGCCAGGTGTGGTGGCACAGGCCTGTAATCCTTGTGGCTTGAGAAGYTTAGGCAGGATTATCACAAGTTTGAGGCCAGYCTCCTCAACTTAGGTTTCACTAAGTTGGGTAGGGCCTTGCTAAGTTGCTGAGGCTGGCTTTGAACTTGCAAGCCTCCTGCCTCAGCCTCCCAAGCTGCTGGTATTACAGGCATGCACCACCATGCCTGGCCGAAAATWAAAAAATTTTAAAAAGGGGCTGGGGATGTAGCTCAGTGGTAAAGTATCTCTGGGTTCAATTTCAGTACCAAAAAATTTTTTTTTAATTACCAAGTTATTACAAGTAATTACTATTGAATGTCATTAAAAACAGTATAGAAATTTCAGTGATGAATATCATAAAAAAGGCTTAAAAAAAAAGGACAAATGGGAAAAGGCAATTGTAACACCTGAGACAAAGAAAGAGACTCCTCAGTATATAAGGATTTCTACAGTGACTAGGAAGGGAACCCACAGGTAATAGAAACACAGGCAGACAGCATGAGCAGTAGAGAAAGCAAATTCAAATGTATAAAATATTTAGCCTCAATCACAAAATAAAATCCCTTAGAACCTTGCATGGTGATGCTGGGTAGAAACAGGCAGCTCTTTTTGTTTTCCGTGCTGGGGTGGAACCCACGGCCTCAGCGTGCCAGGTGAGCCCTCTGCCATGAGCAACATCCTCAGCCCTCAGGCAGCTCATTTGTTGGTGAGAAAGTAAATTAGTTGAGTCCTTTGGGAGACCAGTATGGCAATAAGAGTGTGTGTATCTATTTTTTTCCTATATAATTGACTTGTGCAAAGGTGCACTTATAGGGATCTTCATTGAGATGCTGTTCCTAGAAATAAAACATCATATAACACTATGTGTATCCAAAGGTTACTGATTAGATGAACTGTACTTCATCCTTGTCGTGGTCTGCTGTGCTCCTTTACGTGAGAAAGTGATTCCTGGATTTGGATTTGTGGCAGGCCCCTTCCCTTGGACCTCTGATAGTGCCCAGCCCAGGGCAGACGAGCCCAGAACCACTGGTGACCTCTGCCTTTAGGCTGCTGGCACTGAAGCAAGTTGCACAGTGGTGAGGGGGAAAAAGAAAGAGAAAATAAGTTGTGAACAGTAAAGGGTGATTTCATGTGGGCTAAGKTCCAGGACATTGTATGTTGTTTGCTGCTCTTTTCCACAAAATGTAATATGTGTTTGTTTATGTGCAGACTCTCCCTGAAGGAGACACAGCTACTGGCTTACTTCTAGGGAAGGGAACTGAGGACTGGGGTTCCGGGGTGGAAGGAATGCTTAAAATTTACTTTTATTATCATCATCACCACCATTATTTTGTGGACTAGGGGTGGATTCCTGGGTATTATGCTGCTAGACAAGTTTTCTACCACTGAGCTACACCTCAACCCTAAAATTGAGTTTTTATCAACTTGACCTATTTGAACATTTTACCTCTACTGATTCAGTGAGGTGTGTATATTTGTGTGTGTGGGGGGGGGTATTGTTTGTTTGTTTTTACATTTTAATTTCAGGTCTATTTTAAAATAATTAACACATTGGTAACTTTAATTCTTGGTACAAGGATAACTTCCATTGCCTCTTTTGTTTTATTAGTCAAGTCTTAGTAATTAATCTGTCATTTGAGCAGAAAGACAATATGTATTTAGCTTTACACTGATGTTCTCTGAAAGAAATATCACACGTTGTAGAGGGAGTATTTGGAACAAAATAATTGAGTCATCCTTATCCAAGAGACTGATCCTCTTTTTCTTGGTTGTAAATACATAGCTTTGTTGGGAGCGATCACTATTATTGAGTCATTTCTTTTTTTTCTTCAGTGGCACTGGCAGTTGAATCCAGGGACCTTACCACTGAGCTATGTCCCCAGCCCTTTTTTCTTTATTTTGAGACAGGTCTCACTAAGTTGCTGAGGCTGGCCTTGAACTTGGGATCCTCTTGCCTCAGCCTCTTGAGTAGCTGAGATTGCAGGTGTGTGCCACCACGCCTTGTTGGTTTATCTTTTTATTGCTGAGCAGTATTGCAAGGTGTGGATGTACTAGTTTAACTTCATATCTACTATAAGAGGCTTTGGTTAGGGCTGGGCTGTGGCTCAGTGGTAGAGCACTTGCCTAGCATGTATGAGGCACTGGGTTCAGTTCTCAGCAYCACATATAAATAAATAAAAGAAAGGTCCATTACAACTGAGAAAAATATTTTTTAAAAAAGAGAGTGAGACTGGGAAGACTCTATCTTTATTTGCACATTCACTTTCCTCTTAGGCAGGTGTAACTATGGAAAGGGACCTTCAGTGTCTCATGTCTTTTCTGGAACCTTAATCTGAAGCACTCCATTTTGCTTCCTMGTCTATGTGTGTATTTCTTTAATGCAGCATTTGTAGCTGTTGTCACTGTTGGCGTTTCAGATAGCGTTGGGACATACGGTGTTAAGACACGTTCTTGTTGAGGGTCCCAGCTCCCCTGGAGGCAGTGTCAGGGTACTGTTTTCTGTTTCTCTAGGAGGGTCAGTTATGTGGAACTGTTTTTACAGATCTGCTTCTTTATCTGTCCCTCAGAGAGAGAGAACTATTAGAAACAATTATTTTATAAAATTTGTCTTTGTGCCACAAATGAGTCCAGAGAATGCCTAATGTTTTTAAGTGAGACTCTAATTCTCACTTAAAAATATTAACAGAGGATAATTTTTGAAATTTAAAGACTATTTCTTTACCATGTCATTCTTTAGATCTTAGATTTTTTTTCAATATTGTTTTTGTTTTTTAATCATTTGGTATTTTTATGTTACTTAGATAAGTGTATCTCCACTTTTTCCCAAAAGGAGTTGATGTTTTACATCAAAAATTTAAACACACAGTGGTAGAGCACTTGCCTAGCATGTGTGCACAGATGTGTGCCCCCTTAGCTGTACTTAAGTGGAAGGGAAGCTCTTTTCTAAGGAGGGAAGTGAGCCGTTGGTTATTTTCTGTATTTCGGGAACCTCTACTGAAGACCTCTACTGATACTTGGATTTGTTTTACAAATACAATAAAAATGTCATGTCTCAATATCAGCCCTCCTCAAGGGGTCCCACACATCAGACTTTTTACTTCCGGGAACRGGGGTATAGTTCAGTGGTAGAGCTCCTGCTTAGCATGAGAAAGACCTTGGCTTCCATCTTTAGCACTAAACAAAAAAGAGTAGTTCACTTCCCCAAAGTGAGGACCACAAGTCAAAGAGCCCCTGTCCCCCCATCTTACAGACCCAGATTATATTTCAGAAAGTACTTCTTACTCTATCTGAGTCTCAGTTTCCTCATTTGTAAAATGGTATAATGACTAAATCACAGTTCATGAAGATTAAAGAATAACAGACATACAGGGTTTAGAATGGTGCTTTGGACAACACAATTTTCTGTGAGTGTGGAGTTTGTTTTTCTGACTATCAGAACCTGGGCAATGCACCAGGCAAGCACACCTGTAATCCTTGAGAATTTCAAGTTTGAGGTCAGCCTCAGCAACTTAGTGAGGCCCTAAGTAACTTAGCAAGACCCTGTCTCAAAAAATAAAAAGTTGGGCTGGGGATGTGGCTCAAGCGGTAGCTCGCTCGCCTGGCATGCGTGCGGTCCGGGTTCGATCCTCAGCACCACATACAAACAAAGATGTTGTGTCCGCCGAGAACTAAAAAATAAATATTAAAAAATTCTCTCTCCTCTCACTCTCTCTTTTAAAAAATAAATAAATAAATAAATAAATAAAAATAAAAATATAAAGTGCTGGGGAGGTAGCTCAGTGGTAAAGCACCTCTGGGATCAATCCCCTGGTCCAAATTAAAGCAAAACATAAAAAGAACCTGAGGGACTGTATCCTGCTGGTCTGGGACAGCCCTATGGCGTGCCTGTTGCCCCAGCCTGATTATTAACAGTGTCCCCTTTTGCTCTCAGAATTCTCTCCATTTGGGCAGTGATTGATTATGTGTTCACCCCAGTTAGAGCTTTAACCCCCATTGAAGCTGAGAAATGAATCAGGCTTTTTGTCGTGAGTCAGGCTTCACCTTGTCAGCTGCTCTCCAGTGAGGGCAATGCTTACCAAGACGGGTGTGGGTGTGCACAGATGTGTGCCCCCTTAGCTGTACTTATGTGGAAGGAAAGCTCTTCTCTGAAGAGGTAAGTGAGCCCTTGGTTATTTTCTGTATTTCAGGAACCATTTGTAACCCTGGACCACGGAAGTCGATGTCTAAGCTGCTATACATCCGCTTAGCGCTCTTTTTGCCGGAGATGGTCTGGGCTTCTCTGGGGGCAGCCTGGGTAGCAGAGGGCGTCCAGTGTGACAGGACTGTTGTGAATGGCATTGTAGCAACCGTCGTTGTCAGGTGAGGCCTTCTATCTTCTCTTTTAGTTTTTTTCTCATCACAGATGCCTTTGGGAGGCAGGTGAACAAGTCTTTCTGAGAAACAGGACAGGTAGCCCAGTGTCCAGTGGCTTCCTAGCAGAATTAGAATCAGATTGAGTGACTCATGGAACCTTAAGAGACACTGGTTTGTACATGAGAAATAATTCGTTTTCCCTTATATATTTGTCGATGTTTTATTTCTTACTGGTTCTCATTTTTTTGAATTCCCTCTCTTCTAAAAAGGAAGACTACAGACGACCAAAACTAAAACTAGGATGAGAAAAAATAGAGTGACAGGAGTGGCATCAGGGAATAATACTGTAGTAAGGTTTATAATATGGTTTCATATATTCTAAGCTAAAAATTGACAGATGATCTAATTCCATCTCCTCCTGTTCTGAATAATGGGCTCCTGCTGTTGCTGCCTTTCCTCAGCCATACCACCAGGGGGCAGCAGAGTCTCCTCACCCATATGCATCTTCCCAGCAGCATACTCCATGAACTCGGTGGGGCGCAAGCGCACAGTGGGGCAACCTAGAAATATGTAAACACATGAACAAAAGAACTATGGGGTAGCGCACAATATGGAAATTCTTTTGGTAAAGGTAGTGCTGTGAAGAGCTAGTTCCAGCTGCTTCTGKGTTCATACTGCAGCTCTGCCCACCAAATAGTTCTGTTTCCTTTGTTTCTTTATTTTTACTACTCTAATCTTTATGGGGCCTGGGTTAGCTATGAGGAACTTTCTTGAAGAACTGAGTTGCTCGCCTCAGTCAGGATCTGGGAAATCCACATCCTCCTCGGGAAGGAGCACCTCTGTAGAGATGCAGGGGCTGAGCCATCTGGAGGTGGGGCCCACCGTCACTGAGCCTTTTCCACTCTCTGTTTTGCAGTTGGATCATCATCGCCGCCACGGTGGTCACCATTATCATTGTCTTTGACCCACTGGGGGGGAAAATGGCCCCATATTCCTCGGCTGGTCCCAGTCACCCGGATAGTAATGATTCAAGCCAGTTACTTAATGGCCTCAAGACAGCAGCTACAAGCGTGTGGGAAACCAGAATCAAGTTCTTGTGCTGTTGCATTGGGAAAGACGACCATACTCGAGTTGCTTTTTCGAGTACGGCAGAGCTTTTCTCAACCTACTTTTCAGTAAGCTGAAGGGATATGGTTTGGTCCCTTTCTTCTGTTTCAGTAAATGCTTCTCTGTGAAGATGAGCGCACTGCATCTTGAGCTGAGCCCCCTAGTCTTCCATAGTGGCATTTGAGAACCTGGAACCTTTGGGCATGGGGTGGGGGGGCAGACACTGTGTCTGGGATGAATGCTCTGGGGAGCCATTAACTGCAGGGGCCAGGCTATCTCAAACTCTATCTCGCTAGTCAGGTGCGTCCTGTCATTGACACCTGTTCATTGCATTGTTGAGAGATTTTTTCCAATACTGCAGATGGAACCCAGAGCCTCACACATGCTAGGAAAGTGCTCTACCATTGAGCCATATCCCCAGCRCTCTTTACTTTATGTTTGAGGCAGGGTCTCACTAAGTCGCCAAGTCTGTCCTCGAACTTTTGATCCTTCTGCCTCAGCTTCCTGAATAGCTTYGATTACAGATGTGTTTCACTGGTTTATACTGTCAAGATCTTGAATTCATTTTTAAGGAACTAAATAAGGAAGCTGTACATTTCGAGAATGATTTTCTAGTTGTCTTCTTATACATCCTCTGTCCAGCTGACTCAGTGGATACCTACCTGCATAGGCAGAGTCATGCATCCAGGGTAATACCTGTGATTTCTTACCACTTCATATCATGATAGAAATGATAGACTACTCTACTTTTGAAAGAAAGCTTGAAGTGAGGCGGTACAAAAGAATGTCATTCTAGAGCCTTCTACTGATTTGAAAATATTTGTTTTTCTTTCGTATTTGGTGTGTGATTTTGTCTTTTCATGTAATGTTCTCTGATAAACTGCTGTTCTTTTCTATATTGAGACCAAGTAAGGAGGAAAAGTGTCGACATCCTCCATACCTTCCTGTCTCTCTCTCTCACTTCTCAGTGGTGCCCRACTTTGTACTATTCAGGGCTGGCCCCAGAGCCTGACACCAGGCCACAGCAGCCTCAAGGGGATTAGAGAAGGGTGTTCCCCTGAATCTTGAAGGAGTGCTTCAGCCAATATCTAAAGATATTTAGAAGRAGGAAGAAGAGAAGCTGGATATTCTCAGGATTTCTTATTCTTCATCATAGGCAGAATTGATGACCCAGAGGCCCAATGACCAGTACATGGTCCTTTCTTGTGTGCTAGAAGTGCCTGCTGTTGGTAGAGGACTTCTGCTCCTCCATATCTGTCCTGAAGAAAAAGGGTAAGGGGTAAGGTCAGACTCCAGAGGACAGCTCTGTTGCTTTTCTTGTTTGGGGTTTCTTTTACTGTATGCTGCACCCAGTAAGCATACATTCAGCCTCGTAAATCTCTGCTGTAGACTGTTTTAACAAAACTTTCACAGCGGGGCTGGAGTTGTGGCTCAGTGGTAGAGCACTTGCCTCGCATGCATGAGGCACTAAGATTGATCCTCARCACCACATTAAAATAAATACATAAAATAAAGATATTGTGTCCATCTACAACTAAAAAAAATACTTTTTAAAAAAACTTTCACACCAACTTGAAATGATGATGTAAGCTTGGGTTCAAATTGTGCATTACTRAAATGGTGGAGGATTTACCCATTTACTCCTCGACTTTATAAAAGATTTAAAATAGACTAGAAATAGTTAAGTCACTTGAAGAGGAAGTTTTAAAACGAATAATCATAGATTTGTCTGAGAACAAGATAAGAAAAAATATTAAGSTCACATATAGAAAGAGTCCTACAAGGAAATTGCTTCTTCAATGACTTGTACATGTCATTATATCTATGTGTGTCCACATGTGCCTGTGAACAGTGTAAAATGAATTTTAAGGAGTTACTGGGTAGTTCCTGCTGGGTTTTAATGACAGGCCATTTTGATTTCTTTCCCAGGACACAGATCTGGTGCCCAGTGACATCGCGGCGGGTCTCGCCCTTCTCCACCAGCAACAGGACAATGTGAGCAACAGCCAGGAGCCTAGTGAGGTGATCAGCCACTCCCCAGGGGACTCCCAGGTAATCCTGAATTTCTGTTGGATTGACAGTTTTGACACTCACACCTCTGTGTTGATCTTCAAAGATAACGCAATTAGCCACAAGCAATTTCAATAGCAGTTGAATCCAGTTTGTGGCTTCTCCTTGTACTTTATCACCTGTCTGTGAGGCAGCTCCTCATCTGGAGTCCAGGAGGTGGGAGCCCATTCTCAGCCAATTTACCATCCATCATGTTTTCAAGGCCCTCTGTTTTAGGAAACTCACTGTTGGATTCTGTGTACCAGAAAAATTCCTTCTAGGGTGGGACTTGAGCCTGGTTCCTACCTCCTGGGGGTGCGTGCTTTCTTCTCTGAGGGATAGAAATAGTTCATCTTTGCTTTATGGTGGTTTTCTGCCATAGATTTTTTTAATTTTCTTTTTTTTTTTTTTTTTTTTTTTTTTTTTTTAGTTTTGATAGACCTTTATTTATTTATACGTGGTGCTGAGAATCAAACCCATGCCAGGCAAGTGGGCTACTGCTGAGCCCTAGCCCCATCTGCCATAGATTTTTATGTTTTCAAAAGTGAAAACTGCAAACAGACTACTTGTGTTTCCCTGCTCCTTGCTGAAACATCCATTTCTTGGCAGTACCTCTTGCAGTTAGAACCTTGCTAATGTCTCCAGGCAAGAGTCAGAAGAATCCTCGGTCTTTTTGATGTTAGCTCCCTCCGTACTCCCTGCGTTTTGGGGTCCATCTAGTCTGTATTTAAGGATTGATTTTCCCTGCAGAAGTTCTCTGAGAGTTCTGGTCAGTGAGGAAAGAGTGGGAAGAATCAGGAATTAGAGTTCTCAGTTTTAAGATCTTAGTGTGTTCATCCTCCCTGTAATGAGTTCCTCTAAATGAAAGCTTTTTTTTTTTTCCCCTTCTCTTACAGGAAGCTGATTTGGATGCAGAATTAGAAAATTGCCATCATTATATGCAGTTTGCAGCAGCTGCCTATGGGTGGCCTCTCTACATTTATAGAAACCCATTTACAGGACTGTGCAAGATTGGAGGTGACTGGTAGGTTGGCTTGGGGTGAGGCTTCCATGTCCACATTTGTCCTTTTTTTTTAAAAAAAAAAAAAAATGTTTTATTTTGAAATCAGAAGTTTTCAAGTTGGTCATGGTGGCACACACCTTAGAATCTCAGCCACTCAGGAGGCTGTGGTAGGATTGAGTTCAAGGCCAGCCTAGGCAACTTAACATAGACCCTATCTCAAAGTAAAAAGGGGAGGGCTGGGGATATATCTTTGTGGCAGAGCATCCCTGGTGGGTTTGATCTCTGGTATTGAAGGGGAAAAAAAAAAAAAAAAAGCAACAAAGGTGACCAAAGACATCCCTCAATCCTTTATCTGGAGCCACCAGTTCTGACTCATCCCATGTGTACTCTGTCAGCCTCTCTCCATGGGCATATTTCTTTTTCCCTGAACCGTTCAAGATTTACTTATTACTCCATGCTTTTTTACTTCAGCCTGAATTTTCTCAGGACATTCTTTTACAGACCTCCAATAAAATTGAAGAAGTTTATCTCTGATTATTAACTAATTTGCAATCAGTAATATCCCTCTTCATGATTTTTCCTCCACCGGGGATGGTACTTTTCACTGTGGTTGTCACAGCTCCCTTTTTTGTTTGCATGCTGGGTACAGAACCCAGCCCTCGTGCGTGGAAGGCAAGAGCTGTGCCACTGCACACCATCTGCAGCCCCAACTCTTCTGCATAGTCTCCCTCAGCTCAGAACAGCTCCTCCGTAACCTCTTTGCCCTCTTTTTAGTTGCAGAAGCAGAACAACAGAATATGACTTGGTTGGAGGTGATCAGCTCAACTGCCATTTCAGCTCCATCCTGCAAACGACGAGGCTACAATACAGGGACTTCATTCACATAAGCTTTCATGACAAGGTGCAGTATCAAACAGGGGCTCTTAACTAATTTTGCGTCCTAGAGTCCTTTGAGATTCCAGTGGRAATTAGGAATTATCCTTTATATAATTCAGAGACACACACACACACCCCAATTCTTGTGTACTGTTTCAGGAGTTCACAAACCCCCCTTGAATCTCATACAAGTCCATGGATCCAGGTTTAAAACCCAGGTTTAACACAAGGTAGAACAACCAGGGTTCATCAGAGATACCATGCTGTCTCACCTGACTTCAGTAGGTGACAGGATAGTGCAGCCTGAGAATCTGGTGGCTAGCACCTGTGGTCCTGGCCTCCAGGGATGGCCTGTAGCTGCTCAGCACAAGACTGAATTTATCCATCGAATGAACGATCATTGGTGCCGGGACCCAGATGAGGGAGGTGAAGTGAGCCTTGAACCCACCAGGGAGCTGCACAGTAGATTTGACCTACTGGCAGGGGTGAGAGAGGCTAAGAAAGAAAACCGCTGGTCATGACAGTTGAGTGTTTAATGAAGGCCTTTGGTGTATAGTGTCAAGTGGAGCCCTGGCTGGTGAGGACGAGGTGGATGTTCCTCCAGGTTTCTTGTGGCAATTGCAAGGGATGCAGACCTGTTCTAACGTTGTATCRTTAGCTGCATGTTTCCATTATGTAGGCCTCACACTGTTTCTCATCCTTCAGGTGTATGAGCTGCCCTTCTTGGTGGCTCTGGACCACAGGAAGGAGGCCGTCGTGGTCGCTGTGAGAGGGACCATGTCTCTCCAGGTAACACTAGACCCTGACAAATTAGACGGGGGCGGGGGCGGACGACTGTGCTGGGAGCAGGGAGTACAGATCAGCTAGGCACCCTGGCTCAAAATGAAGGAAACGTTGTTAGGCAACAGCAAAACCACAGGGAAACGCCCTGACAGAAAATGCGGAAGCAAATCCAGAATTGTGAAATGCTCCCTTTTCAAAACACTGTGGGATTGTTGGGAGCAGAGATGCCAGCAGGTTCGTCCCCATCTTGGGGGGCTCTGAGAGGAGCACCTGTTTAGCTCCCCTTCTGAAACTTGCCTGGATATGTGGCCAAGGCCCCAAACCCAAGGGACCGTCCCCTCAAATCTCCTGTGCCCATAGCCAGAGAGGACTAGTTGAGTCTTGCTGTTGAAAGTCACATGATGCTTCCCAAGTTCCTCTTCCGGTTCCTCACTGGCCCAGTCCTCTTGCCAGTCCCCAGGCAGCTGTAGGCCCCCTTGGTCTCCCCCTGCCCAGCGGCCCCTCCCGTGGTCTCCATCCCAGAGCAGCGTTTCTTCCCTCTCGKCGTGCTTTCCGGTTCCTTCTTGACTACTCCTCTCTCTCACTTCCTCATACTTCTCTGCTGACCCATAAAATGTACTGAGACTCCACAGCTTGTGCCCTCAGCCCTCTTCTGCTGTGGACCAACTCTGGGGTGCCCGCACCTRGTTCCCAGCACTCCATACTTGCACCTTCAAGGCCATCTGGGTCTCCCAGGACCCTCCCCSCTCCCAGGCCTGAGCTTCCTCAGGACTTCCTGTTTATGCCCACTCTGCCAGCACCCCCCAGTTGCTCCTGAAGAAACAGTGGAGTTGTCCTTGCTTTCTCTGGTCACTGCCCAGTCCATTCTGTGTGAAGTTCTAGCCCCRGCCTCTGGCCATGTCCTCCGTTCCCAGCACCATGGCCCTCATTCTGTCCAGGCCTCYTCTTACAGTGGAAAGGCCCTATCTCCGTCCCTGTCTCGGCTCTCATCTTCCCAGTGTGTCCTTTCCCATCCTTTTCAAAAACTGCCCATGCTTCCTGCTGCTTTTAGTATGAAGCCCATGCAARTCACCTGAGGGGCTTTGTGCAGTGTAGGTGTGGAGCCTCGTCCCAGCAAGCAGCCAGAGTTTAGCTCTTGACTGTGGGCCTCAGGACAGGAGCAGTGCTTTGTTCAAAACCCTGATAGAGCTGGGCATGGTGGCACCTGCCTACAATCCCAGCAGCTCAGGAGGCTGAGGCAGGAGGATCRCAAATTCAAAGCCAGCCTCGGCAACATGGAGTCACTAAGCATCTCAGTGAGACCCTGTCTCTAAATAAAATATAAAATAGGGCTGGGGATGTGGCTCAGTGGCTGAGTGCCCCCGAGTTCAATTTCTGGTACCAAAAAAATAAGATAAAAAAAACAAACCTGGTACAGGCTCTGTGCTCTGAGGGTCTGTGGACTCTGTACAGTCTGTTGGGTATAGGATGACTTGGATGTACCCACAGTCCCTTCAGGTACGTGCCTTGTTCCAAGCTGCTGCCCTCAAGGCCTCAGGGCCTGCCTGACTCGTGGGCATTTCTGCTGAGGTCAAGCATCCCAGGGTCCCTTCTAAGCAATCTGACCAGGAGCCTGCCACCCACTATCCCTCAGAGGACATGAGTGCACACCACAGGCTGATACTTCTCCTGTCTGTGCCTTTTTTATAGGACATCCTCACCGATCTGTCTGCAGAGAGCGAGAGCCTCCACCTGGAGGCTGAGGTGCAGGACTGTGTGGCACACAAGGTACAGTGGGGTCGCAGGTTCTGTCAGCGCTAATASAGTGACAGTCACCACATGCCAGCTGCCCCGCACAGCAAGTGCTAGTTCTTACTGTTGCGGTCCCCGCACCAGACCTATGGGCAGCGTGTGTATATGTGTTTTAGAAACTGGGTCAAAGAGGCGGAGTAGCTTACTGAASCCACATAGTTATTGGAGTGTCAGACTGGGCGTGTGAGCCAGAAACGCTGTGGCTTTCCTTCCCTCTTAATTAAAGTCCACTGTYACGGTGACAAAGCTCTTGTGCAATACAGAGCAGCAGAAAAAGAGCTCCTGACACAGAAGCAGGGACACCTTGGCAGTGCCGCACACCATCTCACAAGTTCTCTGTGGATGTGTCAGGAGCCAGGGCCTCCATTTCTCACTGTGCCGTGGGGTGGGGCACAGGAGCACCACCTGATGGGACAAAGAAGCCCCCACGCACGGAGCACAGCCTTAGGTTTTTAAACCATGCTTACAGTGTTCTATTTTTTTCATTTCTTTAGTGATAGTGAAATATACATAATAATATACATAATATTTGTTATGTTAACCATTTGTTTTATATTTTGGGTACTGGGGATTGAACCCAGAGGCAATTTGCCACTGAACCACATCCCCAGCCCTTTTTATTTTTTTATAAAGGGTTTTGCTGAGTTGCTGAGGCTGGCCTTCAGCTTGTGATCCTCCTGCCTCAGCCTCCCAAGCTGCTGGGGTTAGGGGCATGAACCACCACACCTGACTAATTTTAACCATTGGTAAATGTACAGTTCAGTGGCATTAAGTGTTTGCATAATGCTGTGTACCCATCACCATTATCTCTACCCAGGATTTTTTTTTAATATTTTTTTATAGTTGTAGATGGACAGAATGCCTTTATTTTACTTGTTTATTTCTATGTGGTGCTGAGGATCAAACCCAGTGCCTTACGCATGCTGCACAAGTGCTCTASTACTGAGCTACAGCCCCAGCACTCTACCCAGAATTTTTTTATCATCCCCACCATAAAGTCTGTACGCATTAAACACTAACAGCCCCCTCTGCAGCCCCTGGTAACCTCTGTCCTGTGTCGTCTCTTTGGATTTGTGTGTTCTGGGAACCTCACGTAGGTGGATTCGTCCAGGTTTGCCCTTTTGCAATTGACTTCTTTCACTTAGTACAGTGTTCAGGGTCCGTCCACATTGTGGAATGTATCGAAATTTCGTTCTTTTTAAATCTTCACAATTGTGCATCGCACTGCTGTGCTCGCTTCGTCTACCCACTCACCYGCCTGTGGACACTTGAGGTGTGTCCACCTTTGGCTGTTGTGACTAGTATGGCTGTGAACATGGGTGTGCAWACATCTGTTCAAGTTCCTCCTTTCGTTTCAATCTTGGGGTTGGTACCTCGGAGCGCAGTTGCTGGGTCGTGTGGTGATCCTGTGTTTGAAGGTGAGGAAGCACAAGTGCGCCCACAGTGGCTGCGGCATTTTACATTTTCTCTGCGTCCTCGTCAGCACTTGTTATTTGCAGGCTTTGATGATAGCTGTCCTGGGGGGTGTGAAACGGCATCTCGCTGTAGTTTTGGTTGGCATTTCCCTGATGACTCATGACGTTTGCAGAGCAGTTTGTTAACATTTAGGGAAAGTTGGAATGACTCACTTCCAAAGGTCAGAGGAAGGCAAGGACTTGACTTGCTTTTATATCCTTGTTATGAACAGGTGCTACTTCTGTAGTCATCACTTTAAAATCCACGAGTGTGAGTGTGAGTGTGAGTGAGGGCTGTGCACCTACCGAACCTGGGCCTCAAGCGTGCTGGGCAAGGGCTCTGCCCCGGAGCGACACTCCCAGTGGGAACTTTTTCTTTAACCTTTAGCTGTCCTTTTGTGCATCAATTCACAAAAGACTGCAGTTTAACTGTTATCSTGTGTGTGAAGAACTTTGAACACCTCAGGGAGCCCTGGAGGCCTTCAGAACTCATGGGCTCTTTTAAGAGAAAGGCTTTCTGTGACCACAAGCGGAGGCCTCTGCCTYGCACCAGTTGCCATCTCCAGTACAGTTCGTCCTCCGGCTGGGGCGCCGCTGCCCCAGGCCTGCTGTCTGCTCTTGGCCCTGCCGCTGTCCTCAGTGGTCAGAGCCCAGCCCCGTGCCTCTGGGAGCCATCTCGGCATTCCCTTGTTACCACGTGCCACGGTCTCTTTGGCTCTGTGTGCAGAACTGGCCAAGGGTAGGAACCTGATAAACAGCGCCTAGAGGGAACTGTGGGGCAGTCTGGAGTTGGGGTCAGGAAGCCCTGTCTGAGTGTCAGAGCTTCCGTTTGATCCATCCTGTGTGGTGTTCTGCTTGCAGAATTAGCACATTATGCAATCTTATTTGCAGATGTTGTAGAGATGGTCACAATCAGTCTCCCATCTTATAACAGATCCCCTTCCCTCCTCCTCGTAGACTGTGAGCCACACAAGGACAGGGCAAGGCCCTCTTGTCTGGGGCCTGGCAGAGAAACTGTCATGAGGAGGCTGTCCACAAGTGGACCGGCCAGCGGGGTTGTCTCCTCTGCATAATTCAAGGAGCCTCTGATGTAAAATAGCTAAATAGCTGTATTAGAAAGTTTTAAAATTTATTCTTTGAAGTTAAGCCCAAACCTGAACTTCCTAGAACTCACTTTTGACGAACTTTTTTTTTTTTTTTGGCCTTTGTAGAGCCAGGGGATACTCAGTGTCATTGGTTAAGGACTGTATTGTAGCTAGACATGATGACACACCTGTAATCCCAGTGACTCAGAAGGCTGAGACTGGAGGGTCTCAGCCTGCCTCAGCAGCTTAGCAAGACCCTATCTCAAAATAAAAAATAAAAAGGACTGGGGATGTGGCTCAGTGGTTARGCATCCCTGGGTTCAATCCCCAGTACCAAAAATAAAACTAAAAGATAACTGTATTGTAAGCTTTAACATTGTTCAGAAGTGGTCAGTCATTTATGATCAAAATCTGACCGACCACAGGAACTTGGCTGAAGTAAACTGCARCAGGTCCGCACAGCAAAGCACCAGGCAGCCACAGTGGAAGCTGCAGAAGTGTATGTGCAGGCGTGGGAGGGTGCTCCTGGGTGCCGGTTTCTGTTCTCGAGACTACAAGGCTCAGGGGTCACTCCAGTTGGACTGGGCTAACTGGGCTGCGCAAAATAACCACACAAGAGACACAAATACCTTTTTCTTTGGGGTCGCTGTGAYGGCTCCTCTRATCTTAAGGGTCCACAGAAAGAGAGAGCAAGAGCACTCGCTGAGGAGAAGCTATTCAAATGAGGCAAGGGGTCAGGTTTCAGGGGGCGGAGTCTATCTTCATGATGTCCACTGTCAGCAGGTTGACTGACACCTGGGTAGGCCATGCCCACGGGTACAGTAAGAGAAGGGGAAACACACAAGGCACTTCCATGGAAGATTCTATCCTAAACAGGGCAAGGGGTTGGGGCTGGGGATGTGGCTCAAGYGGTAGCATGCGTGCGGCCCGGGTTCGATCCTCAACACCACATACAAACAAAGATGTTGTGTCCACCGAAAACTAAAAAATAAAAATTAAAAAAATTGTCTCTCTCTTTAAAAAAAAAAAAAAAAAAAACAGGGCAAGGGCTTATATTACAAAGGAACAGGTGAGCATAGCTTCACCCATGGAACTGTAGCAAGACACACCACACAACCAGGCACAAGACACCGACCCTCAGACCCAAGAAGGGTGGGGAAAGCTCTGCCACTTTTCTGTGACTGAGCACCTCAGCACCCAGCCAGGGAGTGTGACTCAGTCACGTGTAAGGTTGGTCTCCCACACCTGAGGGTGTCCTGATTATTTTTTTAATTTATTTTATAATCKACTATGTATGTAGTGAGCACCTGTTTCATGCCAGGTCTGGCCCAGGTGCCAGGAAGGCAGCAGAGAACAGGAGGGCCCCTGACCGCTGGGTCAGGTCTGTTGGGGAGGTCATTAGGGAGTCAGCAGTGAGTGCACACTGTGGGGTCCTGTGTGTGAGCCGTGCTGACCTGCCTGTCTGTTTCAGGGCATTGCTCAGGCTGCCAGATACATTTACCGACGACTCATCAATGATGGGATTCTGAGCCAAGCATTCAGCGTCGCTCCCGTGAGATCCTGTTTCGTTCTTTCCTTCCCCTGTCTTTAGCCGTGTGTTGTTCGCAGTTACTCACTCTGCTCTTCATCCTCCAGGAATACCGGCTGGTTGTGGTGGGGCACAGCCTGGGCGCAGGAGCAGCTGCCCTGTTGGCCATCATGCTCCGGAGCTCCTACCCACAAGTCCGGGCCTATGCCTTCTCCCCGCCCCGAGGGCTGTTAAGGTAATGCCATGCTGTCCAGCGCTTAACAGGGGCTGCCCGGTCCACTTATCTTTTTTGGGGAACCAGGGATTGAACCCAGAGGTGTGCTTAACCACTGAGTCACATCCCCAGCCGTTTTTTGAGACAGGGTCTTACTATGTTGCTTAGGGCCKCACTAAATTGCTGAGGCTAACTTTGAACTTGATCCTCCCGCTTTAGCCTCCTGAGCTGAAATGATGTAAATCTAAGATTCATTTTATAATAGACTATTTTTTAGAGCAGATTTGGATTCACAKCGGAATTGAGCAAAGGTACAGAAAGTCCCTGTCTCCCCCACACTTGCAAGCCTCCCCCATTGTCAGCACCCCAGCTGTCACCTGTCACCTCTGATAAACCTACATTGTCACATCTCTGTCACCTAGTATCCATAGTTTGTGTTAGGGAGTCTCTTGGACGTGTACATTCTATGGATCTGGATAAATAATGACATTCTTATGAATTTGCAAAGTATTTTTCTTTGCTGATTCATTATTCTGATTGGACTGTCCTCTGTAACCTTTCACCCTGATTATTTTTTTAATTGTACCACAGTTAAAAAAAAGACAAATTAAGAATAAAAAATAAGAGAATAAAAAAGGGCCTTGTGCCTAATTATAGAAAATTGGGAAAATATAGAAAAGTGAAGAGATAAAAGATCCTTTTTTTTCGCCCCCTCYCAGTGCTAGGGATGGAAGCCAGGGCCTAGATGTAGTAGGCAAGTGCTCTACCACTGAGCTACACCCCAGCCCCTACAATTTTTTAAATAAAATTAAAAACTCAGAGTAGGGAGCATAGCTGGTGCAGTGGTATAAGCCTGTTGTCCCAGCTACCACGAGGCTGAGGCAAGTGGGGGGTTACTTGAGCCTAGGAGTTTAAGGTGGGCCTGAAACCTCATCCCAAAAATTCATGTAGAGAGAGTTCATTGTGTGAGCTTCTGTTTAATTAGCTTCAGTACAATAATCTATCAACATATGGCTCATCTTTTTATGTGCCTTCACCCTACTTCCCACGTCCCCCACAGCTGAGTTAACTTGGAAGCAAATCTGAGAGAGCATATCATTTTATCTGTAAATAACCCTAATATAAGTAAAAGATAAAGGGGTTAGGGGCTGAGAAAAGGGGGGATCACAAACTGAAACTGATTTCCATGTAAGTATAAAACTCTAAAAAAAAAAAGAAGAAGAAAAGATAAAGGGCTTGGTAATTTTGTTTTGTTTTTGCTTTGGGGGGTGAACTGGGGATTGAACCAGGGGCACTCTACCACTGAGCTACATCCCCAGCCCTTTTTATTTTTTGAGATGGGATCTCACCAAGTTGACCAGGCTGGCCTCAGACTTGTGATCCTACAGCTGCAGTCTCTTGAGTAACTGGGATTGCAGGCACATGCTCCACTGCACCCAGCCACCCAGCTTTGATTCTTTTTAATAGTGTCTTAATATCTAGTAATAGAATCACATTTCCCCAGCTATCTCCTGAATGTTTTACAATTGGTTTGTCTGTATTAGGATCCAAAACAAGGTTCTTACATTGTATATGGTACATTTGCCTTGCAACTGTCTTTTTTTGGAGGGAGGTGGGTTCCAGGGACTGAACTCAGGGGCACTTGACAACTGAGCCACATCCCCAGTCCTATTTTGTATTTTATTTAGAGACAAGGTCTCAGTGAGTTGCTTAGCACCTCACTTTTGCTGAGGCTGGCTTTGAACTCGCAATCCACCTGCCTCAGCCTCCCGARCCGCTGGGATTATAGACGTGCTCCACTGTGCCCAGCTGTACCTGTGTCTTTTAACATACAGATTTTTCCCTCTCTTCTGTATTTGTTGAAGAAACCACGTCATGTGTGCTGAAGAACTTGTCCCTTTCTGGATATATATCCATAGTGCCATTGAACATTATCTGTCTCACCTAGGTTGTTTGTAGTTCTTTGAAAATGGTACTGAAGGATTTGATCAGATTCAGGGTGCACTTCCTGTCCGTATGACATCGTGGGGATGTGCTTCCTGTTGCATTGCCTCAGCAGCTGCGCTGTGTCTGCTTGCCTCCCATGGCGTTAGCCCTAATGATTGTTACTGAGATTTGGTTTTTATTGGAGGTTGTAAAATGGTGATAGCCTGCTTCTGTTATTCCTTCTCTGTTAATTAGTTGAAAATTTAAAAACCTATCTGCAAATATTGCTTACTTTGAGGTACGTAGTTCGTACAGGAAATTCAAGAGAGATACATAAACGCTGGGATCTTTCCACCTAGCACTTCTGGGAAACAGTCCCTGGCCACATTGACTCCTTAGCCTGTCAACATATGAGCTGTCCTGGCCACGGCCACGGTCACAGCCACAGGGTGTCCCTTCAGATTGGTTTCTCCAGCCTTTGACCAACCCCAGTTGTCGGCTAGTTTTCTCACTTTCTGRTAAAACAAACTCTCCTAAACTTTTGGGCTTAAAATGGCCTTAATGGTTTTTTTTCTCTGTTCAAATTTGGAATCAATCATACTTCAAGGAGTGTCAGTTCCTATTGTGGAAAACAGGACTTAAGAGACTGTAATGCAGGGTCAGTTGTGGCTCCTTTCAGCATAAAGAGGCAGGGAATGGTTTTGTTCAAACCCTTCTCCTGGTGTGTGTATAAACACAGAGATCAGGGATTGAGAATAGTAACACTAATGTAGTTTCCAACAGTGTGAGTATCAGAAGTAGCTCCAGTTCTTTGCAGTTAGTTTGTTCATAGGATCTACTCCTGCTAGGGATATACGATCAAATTGCAGTTGTTTAAAGTCACTTGAAATAACTGATTCATGTATCTCATTCAGCTTTTGATTTTAGAGATTATTTGTGTTATTTGATTATGTTCTAATTATGTTAATTATTACATTAACAAAATGTTAACATGGTTCCAGAGACAACCCTACAGAGCAGATACCTTCAGAGAAATTTAATTTCTATCCTGTTCCCTCAAAAATGTCCTTTCTTTCATTCCAGAAGTAACTATGTRTGATTTTTTACTTTTCATTATTATCATATATCAAGCATATCTTCTTCAACTTTTTTTTTTATTTACTTTTTTATATGGTGCTGAGGGTCCAAACCCAGTGTCTCACAAGTGCTAGGCAAGCGCTCTGCCACTGAGCCCCAGCCCCGGCCCTCTTCTTAAAGGCAGCTATTATACCTGCTCTTGTGCCTCATTTTTATTCCTTTAACTTCAACAGCATAATCTTTTTTTTTTTTTAAGAGAATTTTTTAGTATTATTTTTTTTTTTAGTTTTTCTGCAGACATAACATCTTTGTATGTGGTGCTGAGGATCGAACCCGGGCCGCACACATGCCAGGCGAGTGCGCTACGGCTTGAGCCACATCCCCAGCCCCAACAGCATAATCTTTGAGTGCACCATAACAGTACCCAGAACCCTGTCTCACGGCAGTAGAGAACTCAARTGGACGGTTATAGGCTGGACCCAGTTTTCTGTGGACAGATGTTTGGGTGGTGACCAGCCTCTGCTTTTCAAGTAGCACCACAATGAATAGCTTTCTGCCTGTCCTCTTACATTCTTGCCTCTTACATTCTTAGGTAGATTCTGCTAGGTGGGGTGGCAGGGCCAAAGGTCAACGTGTACCTTGGTCTGCTCTCTGGATCCAGTCTGACGCTTTGCTGTGGAGTCTTCATTGAATGTCCGTGTGGCTCTAATAGAACCYGGCGAGAGCTGCTCTGGCTCAAGCCACTTCTCCCCCCCTGGAGGACAGAGAAGAGCTATACAAACCTCCCACTGACCTGGCAGTGTTGCTTTTTTCTCTCTGAAACTGCAGAAGACTGACTTGGCATCTCTTGTTTAAAATTTTCAGCAAATCTCTTTACGAATACTCCAAGGACTTCATTGTGTCACTTGTCCTGGGAAAGGATGTGATTCCCAGGTCAGTGTGCTGGATGGTTGGTCAGTGGGTTGGGGTAGTTGAAAATACTGAGTACTGAGTCTCAATCTCATCTTTTGCTAAACAGGTTAAGTGTGACCAACTTGGAAGATCTGAAGAAAAGGATCTTGCGAGTGATTGCTCACTCTAATAAGCCTAAGGTAATCTGGGCACCAGTGTTAAGAGGGTCTGCAGGGAGAGGCCTTATGGAGCTCAGGAGCTCTCTGGACTCAGCCTCAGGGAGGGCACTTTAAGCTGTTGCCCTAAATTCTATTGCTGCCCTCTGAACAGATTTTTGTCTAGGACTTTGATACCTAAGAAAGCAAATGGCTAAAGCAAGTACACRAAATGCCAGTTAGAAAGTAATGTAACAGAATAATCCTGTTCTATTGAAGTGTTTTGCCTTCTGCCAGACTTCCTAGGCCTGTTTTGTGACTATTCTGGTGCTTTTGGTAATACTGTCTGTGGTTAAGAAAATAAGATTTTAAAATAGATTTTAAGGCTGCTAAATCAGATTTTATGTCCACATTATAGATATTATGCAGTTGTAAAGACAGTGATAGAAGCTGGGAGTGTAGATCACTTGCCTAGCATGCATCAACCCCTGGGTTTGATTCTCAGCACTGAAAAAACAGGAACATGCCTGTAATCCTAGCATCTCAGAAGGCTGAGGCAGGAGGATCGCAAGTTTGAGGCCAGCCTGGGCAATTCAGACCCTGTCTGAAAATTACTAAAAAGGGCTGGGGATGTAACTCAATGGTAAAGTATCCCTGGATTCAGTCCCTAGTACGGCTATAAATTAATTAATTTTAGAGGAGATAACATTATATGAGCAGAGGGAGGAGACAAGGAGCTATTTATAGACATGTATGATTGGGTTTTGACAAAAATTTTGAAAAATATATACCAAATTCCAAAATGTGATCTTATTTGGATAATGGAGTTGCAGATGATCATTTCTTTTCTTTTGTTTTTTAAACATTTATTTTTTTAGTTTTAGTTGGACACAATATATTTTTATGTGGTGCTGAGGATCGAACCCAGGGCCTTGCACGTGCTAGGCGAGCACTCTACCACTGAGCCACAATCCCAGCCCACTTTTTTCTTTTTTTGACAGGAGAAATAAGTCTTTATTCAGTAGCCAAAGAATGGAAAAGAGGGAGCTTTGCTCATGAATCAGCTTCTCCACTTAAGGGGGCCAGGGTTACAGACACAGATGGGATTAATGATGGCGAGAGACTGGGTAGTAAAGGGGAGGAACACGTGACTTTTTTGAGATTAGGTAAAGATCTTCCAGAACTCAGGTGCCACCTCTTTTTATTCCTTTTATGGTCCAGTTTTTCCAATCATGGCAGCTGGTATATGTCTTTAGCCTTAGAGTAGGGAGACAGACAGACACAGACATTAGGCAAATTCAAGTCAAATCAATCTTATAGTTCTGGACAAAACATTTCTCAGATGATCAATATGTCTATATGCAAAGCTGAGTAAAATCTGACCCAAAGATTAAGGCAGCAAAGGAGAAAGACACAACATGAAGGCAGAGATGCCAAGTGGTCATATCCCAGKCACCCATTTGATACTTGTTAGCCCAAGTGAAGTCAGGGATTTTAGCAAAAATAGCCTTCARGTGCCTGAAAAACAGCTGAGGCCCCCTTCCATCACAGCCCATACAGCAGAGGTGTYTTCAGTTCTTTAACTTCAACTTTTTTTTGGTTTGTTGCTAATTAGGAAAAAAACTAAATTATCCTTCTATCAGCCATCCTCTCCAAATTTCCTAGAGGGTAGTTTCTAAAGGCTGGGGTGTAGCTCAGTGGAAGAGCATATGCAAGGCCCTCGGTTCAATCTTTAGCTCCCCACAACCCTGAGAAAGAGAGAAAGAAAAAATAACTAGTATCTTTAAGGGCAGGGTAAAACTAATTTGCAAAATTTCATGAAAAGAATTAAGGCATAAGGCCCAGGGGTCCCATCTTCAGCACCACCAAAATAGTGATTTTTCTCATCAAAATATGCATAATATAGTTTTTAAATATTGCTACAAGTATGTTGGCTTTATCACGCAAGAGGCACCCAACACTGGTTTGGCTGAGAGGACTTCCTGAACCCGAGGGTTGCTGCCACCTAGCAGTCCTGTGAGATCCCTCTGGTAAGGGTGGCAAATCCTCAGAGGACCAATGTTCTGTCTTGGTTCTCRCCCTCAGTACAAGATCTTGCTGCAAGGCTGCTGGTACGAACTGTTTGGAGGGAACCCTGATAACTTCCCAACTGAACTGGATGGGGGTGACCAGGGAGACCTGACACAGCCTCTTCTTGGGGAGCAGAGTCTGCTGACACACTGGTCCCCAGCATACAGCTCCTCCAGTGATTCCCCACTTGACTCTCCACCCAAGTACCCGCCTCTGTATCCTCCTGGCAGGATCATCTACCTGGAGGAAGAGGGCAACTCAGGGAGGTGAGTGTGAGGGTGTGCAGGTCTGCACTCACCACCAGGGGAAGAAAGCGTGTGCTGGAGACCAAACTCAAGAAACGCTCACTAGCTAGTATTTTCTTCTCTGTTGAAGGTTTGGCTGCTGGGCTGCTGCTCGGTATAGAGCAAGGTGGTCACATGAAGCAGAATTCAGCAAAATACTCATAGGCCCAAAGATGCTGACAGACCACATGCCAGACATCCTGATGAGAGCCTTGGACAGCATGGTGGCCGACAGAGCAGCCTGTCTCTCCTGTCCAGGACAAGGGGTCTCTAATACAGATGTGGTGTAATCAGGTATCCTGGGAATGGCCCCAGAACAATGRATTCATACATTAATTCTTAAACCAACTTAATGCGCAAATAACTTCCATGATGCCAGTACACTGGWTGCCCACTGACAGGAATCTGATGGGTACTCAATTTAATGAGCTTCAAGATGACTCAACAGTCCGTTGGAACTACTTTTGATCATAGTGGCAGCAGGATCAGGAGTCAGGGAAGCGTACCAAGACTACGGGRCTGCCAAGACAGCAATGTGGGGAAGCCAGGTGGAAGCAGCTCCCCGACCCACGCCACCTAAGAACGGCCCCAAAAGGGCAGGAATCCAACGGCATTTGAAGACCCTAAATGGACTGTRGCCTTCCCCCCTCAGGGTCTTGTCCTGCTACCACTTGGGTCTGAACTTAGATGACAGGTGTATAGTTTATTTTTCCATATCTCAGGGTACTAAGGGCAGCCCTGAGCTCCGTCTTCAAATGAAGATGAGCCAGGTCGGGAGGTAAGCAAAGGCCACTCCTGCTCCCTCAGCCTATGGCTYTGCCTGTGTTTACACCACCTGGGTGTTTAAACAGTGAGAGTTGATAGTTTGATTCTCATGTATTATTTTGGCTCTGAGGCCAGCCAGTGGGTTCAGAAGTTTRAAAAATAAAGTACTTGCACACCATGAGTAGTATTTCCAGGTAGGTGCGCTTTACTGAGTTGTTTTACAGCAATTGTGTTTTAAGTATTGGCTTTTTCTGCCTACTGTAAACAAAAATGAAATCTTACATTTTCTGGGCATTCTGGCTAAATATTAAAGATGCACAMGTACCCTGTTTCACCCACAAGACACCTAATAAATGATGGTTGAGGAATTTCTCTGAAAAGCATAAACCCACAAGGATGGGGGAAAGCCAGAGACAAGAATGGTTGGCTCAAGAATGACTCCCAACCAAGCGCCGTGACCACCTGTGATACCCGTGGCTCAGGAGGCTAAGGCAGGATTTCTAGTTCAAAGCCAGCATCAGCAAGTGAAACCCTAAGCAATTTGGACCCTGTCTCTAAATAAAAAAGGCTGGGGATGTGGTTCAGAGGTTTAAGCACCCATGGGTTCAGTCCCTGGTACCAAAAAAAAAAAAAAAAAAAAAGATTCCCAAGTAGGAAAGATGAGCTAGCTGGCTCACCACCCAGGTTCCTAGGAACTGAGCAGAGTGAAAACGGCTCGGTCCAAAGGGTCTGAGGGGGAGGAAAAATCTGGTCTGGCCCTTTGCTCTTGGGCAGAGGGTGGGGTCTGCGCATCAGCAGTTGAGGAAAGGGAATGACCTTCCTCAGCATTTCTCACTGTACTCCCTGGACAATCGGGGCGAACACGCCAGGCAAATCTGACCTCTGGAGACCTTGCTCAGGTAGGCCCCTAGCTGTCTCAGCCATGTCTCTAAGTTTATCTGGGTTCAATCCCCCTTCTGAAGCAAGAAGGGGACAAATATCATAAGAGTACCCCACTGCTSCCAGGTTTGCCTCAAAACACAAGTTTCTACACTTCCTGGGGGCAGATGGTGAGAACTGACTTGCCGCCCTAGTGCCACCACATGCTCCCTTACCAATGAGGAACAAGAACAGAAGTGACAAAGAATACATAGGCTGAAGCTCCAAAAAACCCCAAGCTGAAGCTGGGGCCAGAGAGTGCTGTCATCACAAAACTGACCTAAAGAGCTAAACAGTGAAGAGTTAAAGAACATCTGAACYGAAAGCATGAGATAAATTATCAATCTAAAATTTTAGAACAGGCCATGAGTATCACAGTAGAATGGCTATTTTCAAAGATGTAAAGGCTCAAARATAGATGCTTTCCCTTCCCCCATGTTCTCAGGAATCTCTTGGAGAAGTTATTCATCAGGATGAAGGAAATACAAGATCAACATATAAGAGGTGGATGTCATCAAATGATTTTGAGGCTTAGGAAAATCTTGAGACTCAGATAACAGATGGATGCTGACTGTTGAACAGTGAGTACACAGAAGCTGGGTGTGTTGGCCCACACCTGTAATCCCGGAGGCTCAGGAGGCTGAGGCAGGAGGATCTTGAGTTCAAAGCCARCCTCWGCAATGGCAAAGCGCTGAGCAACTCAGTAAGATCCCATCTCTAATTGAATAAAAAATAGGGTTGGGAATGTGGCTCAGTGAGTTCAATCCCCAGGACCCTACCCCTACACAGAAAACCAAATTAAACATCCCAAAGAAAACCAAAAATGTAGGAAAAGAAGGGAAAAAAAGAGTTACTACAAGGGAAAAATAGAAGTAGTTAGTCTATATAGCAATAATCACATAGATGCTTTAAAAAAAAAATCAGTATTTTAAGAATGGGAAGTGTTYGAGGAGGAGGGTTGCAGTCAGGAGAGAAAGCCTCAAGTCTTTCACCATGGGAGTATATCTGAAAGATTCAACAAACAGGAAAAGCATAAATTTAGGTGTGTAGTAAATATCAGATTTTCAATTGGTACAACATTTGCAAACAGGGCTCTAGGTTCAGTGCCCAGCACTACAAAAATAACCTGGAGTATTACCTCTAGAGGGCATGAAGGGAATAAGAGACTGCTGTTCTTTGTAACTTTCAGAATTTTTATCTTGAAAAACTGCTTACCTTTGGTTTAAAAAAAAAAACTCTATAAAAATATAAGACTTTTCAAGGAAAACTGATTCTAACATCAACTTTTTATGTATGTTTGAGACATAATGGATTGAGGTGATGTAGTCCACCCCCCACCCTACCAAGCTCTCAACACTGGGATATTGGCCCTGAGCTCTGGCCTAGGACACACGCGTCCCAGCATGCCTATCTCCACGTGGACAGCTTGCAACAATTCAACAGGCCCAAACATGACCCCCACTCCCCGCCAACACACACACACACTGTATGGTTCAGCTGTGGACTCGCCCACTTTTCCCCTGCAGGTGACACTCCCTTCCCCTGCAGGTGACACTCCCTTTGTCCCTCCAGTGTGAAAATGAAAACCTCTAGCAATCCAGGATTTTAAAATCCACTTTAAAGTGAGACAAACACACTAGGAGCTTGTTCACCAAATTCTCAAAAATTCGAGTATTACCAGTCATATGATTCAAGAATTTATTAAGTCATACATGCAAAACATACTGCTAATTGCATTAGCAAAAGATCAATGTAAAAACACTCCACAATTCTGCAACTGTCAATTTAAAAAATTTTGTTCTAGTGGTTGAAAGGTCCAACATTGTGTTCTTGCCAGTGAGTTTAAGTTGTACAGAACATTGTTAGCACTAGCACAGTTTACAGAACCTCACAGACCCAAAGGAACATCATTAGGCAAAGCCACAACAGGAAGCGTGTGTCCGTGTGTGTGTGTGAGGTAAACAGGGTCAGTATTAGTCACGTGACAGTGTTGGTAATCTGGCAAGACAGTGATGTTAAGAAGGTTCATGGTTGAAGAATATCTAAAATATTTTAAAAACTGTAAAGCTGCAACACATGATTTTTACACCTAGTTACTAGAAAACTAAGGAAAGCACTTATTAGCTTTGAATAAAGTAACATGAAAACAGGAATGCACTTTTACTAACCTACAAAAAAACTAATGCATTATCAGAAAGATTTATAGTACAATTAGG